ATTGGTCATTAGTTTGTGTGTTTGTCATAAAATAAGTCCCTTATTCTATGAAATCGTTACTGTCAGGTCATGACATTGCTGTAAGTCCCCTGTCTATTGTTTATTGTTATTTGTCAAACAATAACATTATGTTATACCTAGGCACTGATAATGGGTAGGCGTAGGTTTTAATAACAGGGGCGTAGCTTAGTACCTATAACTTTATTTACTTCTTTGGTAAAGCGATAAAATTTCAGAAGTCGGTGGTGATGGAATATTTTGATGATATCCGCCGTGCAATATAATTTCCTTGTGTTTATTATCGGTGGAAACTAAATTTATGTGTTGATAAGCAGTCCCCGCAGCTGTAGCCAATGTACTATACACCTGCACCACCAGAGGGGAGAGTTGTATTATGTTCGCATTTCTCCTACGCGAAAGTGATGGTGCATTAAATACCCAACCAGCAAAAGTTATACAGAAGGCCATATAATATTTTGTAAACACTAATCGGTAGTTTGGACTATTGCTCAACCGGAATTACCTACTCTAATCAGACGGAATCACGGAACGAATATTTTGAAACAACCTTTTAAATCAAGACTATTAACAAACTATCGATCATAATGAATATTTCCATTTAGATTTCATGAAGGAATTATTACTATGGACCTAGTACTCATAGCGACAAACAGGTAACAACAAGATCGACTACCTATCTAATCAATATCTTGATCATTAGATTTTTCAATTCCATTGTCAGTAAAGGTATCTAAAGTTTCACGTAATATCAATTTTCTATTGATTAACATAACATAACATCACGCCTTTTATCCTCGAAGGGGTAGGCAGAGGTGCACATTATACCATTGTACAATGCAACATGGTGAAAATCGAAAACCTAGACTCCTTGCCCGGCAGTCGCAGTTGCGATCACTCGGCCAACGAGGCAGTCTCTATTAAATAATGAATTAAAACATCGACCAGCATAAAACAACAATTCTAATTTGCGTCAAACATACTTGAAAGGTTAATACCCGGCCTTTAAAAGCCTCCCAAAGAATAATACAAACAATTAATTACAATAATGCGACGAATCACAGCTGATACAGATCAGGTATCACTAAATTATCTTGAATGAGTCGAAGATATCGCACACATTTACATATTTTATTATATATTATTATTATGTATGTGTTTTCTTATATAAATACAAACTGACCATTGACAGTCACCATAGAGGTTTCGTGTTCCGTTCTAGTTTACTTTTTTATTGTGATTTTTTTTTTGTTTTTTGTTGTTTTACTGAGGTGAGTCTGTTTTTTTTTATTTAGTTTTGTGTATATTTTTAATTGTTATGGTTTTTAAGTAATGACATTTTGTAAATTAAGTTTCTTAGAGTACCTATATAAGAAATATTTTATGGTTATCCAACTTGATATACCTACTTTATAGTAGGTATATCAACTTTATAGTAGGTATATCAAGTTAATCAATATCTAAAAAAATCTTTAGTATTGACGTCTTCGGCCCGCCTAAGCTTTCAGTGAATTTCTAAACTTACATTAAGTACTTAGATTTCGCAATGTTTCTGATGACATTTCCAAAATTTTCTCTGATAAGAACCTTCCACAGACTATAAAACATTAAAAAGAAGCTAAATGAAGTGTTCCTCAATCATAAATGAAGTCAGTTTAGTATTTGAACTTGCCTAATTTAAAAGTTAGCTTTAGCAGATTCAAAATTTGCAAACAAAAAAATAATTTAATACAATTTTGATTAGATAGCTTGTTTCCGATAGATTAGACTGCTTAGACTAGGATTTAATAGCTGATAATTTCATTGATAGGATGTATAATGAAGATTGATTACGATACAACAATATACTATATTATTATACAACAATAAATGTCTATATGACACCGGACAATTAAAGACAAAGTAATACAGCGGCCTCAAAAAAACCGACAGCCTACCCCCCACCCCTTCCCCAATCTCCCCAATCCCTGATTCCCCAACGATCGTCAAACTCCGATCCAAGGGCCGGTAACGCACTTGTAACGCCTCTAGTGTTTCAGGTGTCCATGGGCGACGCCGATTGCTTACCATTAGGTGATCCGTCTGCTCGTTTACAAGCTTATCCCATTATGGCATTATCCCGGATTATTCTATAAGAAAAATTAGAACTGTGAAAAGTCTATTCGTTTTACAATTAAAAAAGCGTTGGTATTATTTGAACGTTCCATCATTTTTGGGAAGATTTCCTCTGCTGAAATTATGGCGCAATTAAATAGTTTCATAGTCGACAACGCAAAAAGAATTTCCCAGTGACAGTGATGCGGACTAATTCTTTGCCCTTAACCGACGGAATTTCGTTTTTTCTTTTTTCTTACTTGCTGTTTTAGTTTTAATTAATATTAGGTTGTATATATTTATTTATAATATTATGTATTTAACCTTTATTTTCTCACCTGCATACTAAATATTGGGCTGACATACATCTAATATTAATGTTACGAAATATGCGTTCAGAGATTATTTTTAAGAAAAAGTTATTATAACGCAACTGTCCAGTTGATGTTTTTAAGTAATCCTCTTTTTTATGTCCTTGTCATCTGTATAGAGGATCTCTTAGTCACAACCAACACAAGAATATAACAAAAAATACTGGGTACTAGAATCTAAAATCAAAATCCATATTTCACCATGACTCATTAGGTACCTACCTATAATCCAAACCTTGTTGAAAGACACAGGTAAATAATTCTAACTTTGACACATAGAGGAATATATATCAAGCATTTCCCTATAGAACCAACTATGACTAACACCAGCATAAAGAAATTATAACTAAACTCTTGACATATTACTAATAACGATACATGTGACATTTAGGTAACATATATGAAAAATACCCGAATCCCGTAAATAAGGAACACGATTGATTGTTATACCTAACGATTTGAGTCATCTTTTATTCAAATAACTGGTGTTCCACGTGTAGGGCCGTAGTTAGTTGTAATATGTATAACTATGCGTGTGTATCGATTTCAGTGCAGCACAGGACCCCAAAGATATAAAGGGCCCACAACAGGTAATAGAAAAAATTAAATATAAATACGATTATGACATCGTAAAAAAATATCTTACGATTATGAAATCAATTAATGTAATTATTTACAACAAATACTGGGTTTTTGTAATATTATAATTATGACAAACATAGTTAGACAATCATTACATAGAATAAAACAAAGTCGCTATCCGCCGTCAGTACCTATGTATGCTTAGATCTTGAAAACTACGTAACGGAAGATAGAGTGATTCTTAACGATGGTTTATATGTATAATATGTACATGCATAATGAACCAGTACGAGTAGAGTAAAGTTTAACAAAATTAACAAAAACGTTGTCAGTTAGTGAGTTGTGGGTAGCAGAATGCAGTCATTCCACGTAAAAAATATACATGCATCATATCTAGTTAATAATTCCCCCATCTAGTAGTGAAAAATAACTAAGTCAGGATTTACTGATCAATTAATTCGATGGGCCCAAAACTAGGGCCCCTAGTTTTGCGAGTGAGAACATACCTCTAGAATCCGACCCTGTGCCACGTGCCTACATTTTACGATTTTTTGTAGATAGAGTAGCTACTTGAGAATATTCCTGTTGGAGATATGTTATCATATATTTGATAACATTCGGAGATTGCGATTGACGTGTCTAACACGTGCCTATAAGTGTTTTTGATTGATAACTAGAAACCGAATAGATGTTCGTTTGTTTACCTATTCCTTGTGACACACCTTCCCTTTTATGGAATTTTTAAGGTTAAATAAAGAATTATATCAAGTTACAACATAATTAAGTGTGGGAGAGCCATGGTTCGGCATGAATGGGCCGATTTGAGTGGAGTGATACCACAGCCTCACAGAAAACCGACGTGAAATAACGCTTGCGATGTGTTTCGTCGTGTGAATGAAGTTACCGGAGGCCCAATTACCCCCCCACCTCAAATTCCCAATTCCCAAAAGGCCGGTAATGTGCTTGTAATGCCTCAGGTTTTCAGGTGTCCATGGGCGGCGCCGATTGCTTACCAATACGTCGGCTCGTTTACCGGCTTAACTCGTCGAGTACCGTCATTATAGACACAATTATAGAACAACAGGTTGCGGTCACCGGTGACCGCTTGGTGTTTGACAGTTTAACTCATAAAAAAAAAGTTTTTATTTTTTAAATTTAGTGAAATAGTGGATTAAACATAGTCAAAGAACTAATGTGGAATCTATGTATTTTTCAATAGAGAATTAAATTGTTTCAGCAATTTCTGGTACGTGCGTCTGATATATTTGAATAAAGTTATATCGGGATATTTCAAAAATGCATATATTTAATAAAAGTGTGTCAATTTAGTAAATTAGTAGATAAATGCTACTTCTTAAGAGCCATTTCAGTATGGCATATATTTACATTTAAATAAAATAATATAATTAAGGATTTCAATGAGGAGAGGAGAGCTTCAATTAAGGAAAACATGTATGCCTGTTTATTTTCCTTTTAGACAGATATTTAAGACTGAGATAATTAGGTAGATGTCCTCAGTTAAGGTTTATTTGTCTAAGTCGTCAGGGTTCGAGGAAAAGTTCCACAACTACTTAATAGTTAACAAAATTTTGTCAGGATGAATTTCTCAAAATATCCTTATATAATACCACATAACAATTTTTACCAAGAAATATTTAAGAAAATTACATTATTTAATAACTTTTTGTCTCAAATTCTCAGTAATTAATTCTAAGTATGTGGGAATACGACACTTACCTTCAATACTTCACTTTTATTCCTAACCGCATTTTGTCAATGATATTTGATTTGCAAAACTGGTCCTTATAGCTTGGATATAGAGGCCACGCCTCATTGCGATAACGGTTGACATATATGCTCGGGGAATTTTGTGGTATAACATATTGGCTATATATACTTGTATTCTTAAGTTCAGAGGCTTATTAAGAAAACACTTCCTTTGATATAAACTTCGACTGAAAGAAGCTTTAACGTTCGTTGTATAGTGTACCAACATACCGCGTCTAAAGATCGAAATTTGAATTTGTGATAGAACTTGTTTTTTTACAAACGGTTTAAAAATAGAATTTGATTTGAAACTGGAATATCTAACTGGCCGTTATAATAAATTACTTGAGGTATTATATTTTTTAATTTTATCAATTAAGTTTATATGGATACGAATTTATATATTTTATTCTTAATTAATTGTGACAACTAAGTCGTAGTCCTTGTCCTCTTTAATTCAATATTTTAATAGTTTGTTTTATTTTTTCCAGAAACAATGGCCAAAATAATTCAAATTTTCTTCGCCTGTGCTTGCGTGTTAGCCGTTTCAGCTATTCCCTCTGGAAAATCACGCAACGCTTACTGTAAGTAAATAAAAAAACATTAAAAAAATATTTAAAATAAATCGAATCAAATGAAATAATTACGTCGCCTAAGATCTAGATTATTTTTCAAGACAATTAAAAAAATTACATATTTTAATAAAATATCTCTTCTACAGCATACCCTTTCAACTTCGTGGGCCGGGAGTCATGGGGAGCTAGACCCCCTAATGGCGCGACCCCTTTATCTCTGCCAGTACCCTACGTGGTGGTCCACCACAGCTACATTCCTCCTGATTGCGACACTGAGGACTCCTGCAAGCACAACATGAGACTGATGCAAGATATGCATCAGATCGTTAATGGATGGCAGGATATTGGATACAAGTATGTTTCGTTATATTACAATAAAAGGGCTTTGTATTTTGTCTGTGAAAAAATTAAAATTCCAGATATTTTTCGAGATTTATTTAGAAAATAGAAAAAATAAGCCATAATAACTTTCGACGCAGCCATTGAAGGTTCGCAAGTTCGAAGGAACGCAGAATTCTCATCAGTTTTTTAAATGTTGTGTAATGTTTCTATGTTGTATTTATTTATTACCTAAAATCAGACCAAACGAAAGATTTTATTCTTTTATACTGTGCGCAAAAAAGGACTTTAGAATCAGTACTACTCAAGGTACACCTCAATTTTCAAATTTGACGAATAACTTTGTAACTGAGTATTATAATCTATCAGGCGCAAACCAGAAACGGAAGAGTAATCGATAACCGTTTAACTATCGTATTAGTTAGTAGTAGCAATTAAGTTAATTGATAAAACTGCATTAGTAGGTACTTGATACTTGATATCGTACGATATGGAGAGCGTCATGTTTTTCACCGCATGCGCCGGTGCGTGAGTCTGCACGACGTCTTGAGGACTTCAGACTATTGCATTGTGATTTGTAGAGTAATGTTTGTCACACATAATGTAATAGTTGTTGAGAAGATATGCAGAAGTGTAGCTTTAGTACTACCTCTATATTACAATTTTAGACTCTGTCACTGAATCCTATTTTGATGACATAACATAACATCACGCCTTTTATCCCCGAAAGGCTAAGTGGCACTTAATGCAATTGTACAATGTAACACACACTTTTCACAATTTATGATATGAGTCCCATGGAATAGGGAGTGAGCCTATTGCCATATACCGGGCACAATTACTCTGTGCTGCTACTGAGATATTTAAAAAAAACCAGTAATACTTTGCCCGATCCGGGAATCGAACCCGGGACCCCTTGCCCGGCAGTCGAAGCACTACTAACTATAAATTACTATTAGTAACAATTTCCTCATGTCTCTCGGATGCACCAGGCAATAAATCAAAACCCAAACCAATATTTTAGGTGCAATTTATTACCTTACCAAAATGCAAGAGATATTAATCAATATTATATTATTTTTTGCAGTTTCGCAGTGGGCGGCGAAGGTTCAGTTTACGAAGGTCGGGGCTGGGAAGCCGTTGGAGCTCATGCTGTGTCTTACAACGTTAAAAGCATCGGCATTTGTATGATTGGAGACTTCGTAGGTAAGTACAGAAAACTTAACATTATTCTCTATGTAGTAGAATTGGAAATCAATAAATCTAGAGTAATCCCTTCCTTATCGATTTCCCAAGGTGACTCAGACGTCCTTGGTTTATCTTTTTTGCATTTTTTTATCAAGGGTTCAACACAGGGGACTCCTACAGAATTTGCAAATCTGATCTGATAACAAATAAGTCCCAAATATTTAGATTTAGTGCGTGACTGCAACTTGCATAAGTAGATATCAAAATTTAAGATAAGGGAATTAGTGGCCTATTTAATCTGCAGTAGGTATATATTCGAACTGTTTACTAAATAACTTTCATTATTTTCATTGGAATTAGGTAAAGTCTTAGAAAACTTAACAATTAAATAGTGGTGCATGCATTGCCGGATTAAATACAAGTCTCGCTCTTCGATTAATAGGTACTTATAATGTATTCCCAATATCGATTTGTACAATTTCTAGTATTATTTTATACTAGCTACTCGCGTCGTTTCACCCGTTGCGCGGTTTCATTCAATTGGTCATTATCAAGCCTGTAACTTTCCTCAATAAAGGGCCTACCAAACACAAAAATAATTATTCCATTCGGACTAGTACTTTCGGAGATTAGCACAAACAAATAAACTAACTCTGCAGCTTAGTATACTAACGTAACACTTTTATTAATATACCAGCCACTTCCTCGGCTCCTATTGGTCGTAGCGTGATGTTTTATAGCCTATCCAACACAGAAAGAATTTTTCAAATCGAACCAGTAGTTTCTGAGATTAGTGCGTTCAAATAAACAAACTTGTCAGTTTTATGTACCTCTAATAGTGTAAGATTTACCGCCTACTGTACTTAATTTTTATCTATTAATGACCATAGTAGGTCTTATGTATATTACTCCTTCATTCATCGTTTACGATAGGTGCAATAAAATAATTATTATTCGTATTGATAACATGTTCAAAATAAATAATATAAAACAATATTGATATGTTATCTCCATATACTACAAAATATACGTACAAAACGACTGCACGTGGAGTCACCGTAATATTTCAAATTCCTGCAATTTTAAAGTTTATGATCTTAGAAATAGGATTGAAAATCGATTAAAGGAATTCGACTGATTGGAGAAGTTTGTTCTGCTACTCGTGTTTGCATACATCTTTGTTTTTTTTAATAAAAGTTTTCAGTAAGATAACTGTTTATCTTTAAATATAAACAAAATATTCAATTCAGTTATTATTCACTCCATACATTTCTAATTTAAAAAAACACCCATTTTTAACTTCTACTTAACGAACCTTATCGCAGTAAAAGCTAAAAAAAAGTCCCTATAATTGAACGCAAGTATAACAATAATCGCAAAACAGTTTTATGATTCGTCCCACAACAGTTTACAAAACAAAATCTAAAGAACATTCAACTCGATCAAAAGATATTACATTACACTTAATAACATTTCACCTTTATTACAGGTAAACTTCCCCCACAAGCTCAACTGGAATCACTAAAGAAACTAATTGCGAGTGGAGTGGAGCTTGGCTACATCAGTAGAGACTACAAACTGATTGGTCACCGACAGGTCGCCGCCACAGAATGTCCAGGACAAGCCCTCTTCAACGAGATATCCACCTGGGACCATTTCACACCAGCCCTATAACGAACAAAATTAAAAAAAAGCCAGTGCCGGATTTAGCGTGTGTGGGGCCCGTAACAAAATTTTCTAAGGGGCCCATTGATATCTAGTCTTATAATTCCAATTCAAATTTTTATTACATTTTATCATTTGTACAATAGGTGTTACAATTGGGTACAGACTCATACGATAAGCTAGAGTTACATTTGGATATACCAACGGGTCCCCACTTATTGACTGGGGCCCATAGCATTTACCATTACTGTCGCAGTAAATCCGATACTAAAAAAAGCAATGATTTAGGTGTGATTCTTATAATGTCTAGGTTTTATTTATGACTAGATCTAAATACCTCTATACTAGTCACATACTATGCAAATACTCGACGCAATCTGTACTGTGAACAGTGCTGTGATTATTGTTAAGTGTTTTAGCAAATAAATGTTGTATTTTTTATATTTTTACTTTCTTGTTTAAATTGTTAGATATACTCTACCTACCCAATCCCAAGATGCCAATTTGTTCCGTATATATTCTTAATATTCTACCTTTTACTCAGGCTATCCTTTATAATCTAAATACTAAGTCTATTTATTGAAATATAACGACAACTCATTATGAAACATATTAGTTACTTGTCTACCAATTTTAACTATCAGAGAATTTTTGATACGAATCATAATACCGTCATGTACTGACATGACGGTATTATGATTCGTATCAGAAAATCTAATTACAGTTACTGAACTGTAATTAGATTTTCTAACATTGTGATCGTTTAAAACAAAATAAAAAAATATCTTACCTTTAATGTACATACATACATAATTATTACTTCTATTCTATCTCAGTGCAATATCTTTGCGAATTTTGCAAATCATTAAAATTAATTCAGTCATCAATCAGATTGTTCACGAAAGAGATAAGCAAAAGGTAAATTAAATTAATAAACGCCCAATATCCACCTACTTCTCTTTAGGCCAGGCCCCAAACAGCCGGATTCCCTCCCATATTTGGCTGGAAATGTCAAACATGGCCGCAGTTCTTCCCCGGACACGCACCTTTACAAAAAGCACAGCACATAAGTATTACTTTTCGAGCAAATAAAAACCAAAAAACCGCAAATGACCTCTAAAAATTTATTTATTTATTTATTTATTTAAAATGCTTCATGCACAAAATGTACAAAAAGGTGGACTTAATGCCGCAGGCATTTTCTACCAGTCTGACCTTTGGGTGATGCAGAGAAGAGTAAATGGTAGGTGCAAGAGGCAAGCAGTGTTTTTCTTTAACAATGAAAGATAAACTAATATATTACATAGATATACATACATAAATAAATTTAATTATAATGTATACCTACACATGAGTACAATATGCCTACATACATACATATATACATAATATATAAATATATACTTGCTTAATAATACACAGTGGATAGTTAGTGCGATGATTCAGCCAACCTCTTTAGGAAAAGCTCACGTACTTTCTGCTTAAAAGTTAGTCGAGTTGAGGCCATCCTGACATCCAGGGGGAGCGCATTCCACAGAAAAATTGCCTGTACGAAAAAGGATGAATGTAAGAAGTCAGTGCGATGAGTGGGACATTGGAGAAGACGGTTGTGAGAAGAACGAAGATTTTTACTGTGGTTTGCGCATAAGTATTGAAAGTAAGGGGATAGATAACTGGGTGAAGAAGGTGAAGAAAGAAAGGAGAATAGAGTGGTTAGCGCCCTTTGCTCCCTGCGCTGGCGTATGGGCAGCCACTTTAGTTGCAACCGATGTGCAGAAACATGATCGTATTTACGCAGGTTGAAAACGAATCGGATGCAGTTATTTAGAAGTCGGTCGAGCTTATTGAGGAGATCTGCATTCAGGTCGTAGTAGCAGACATCAGCATAATCGATGATAGGGAAAACCAAGGCTTGCACCAACATGGCCTTCGTAGCGGGAGGAAGCAAATTTTTTACGCGATACAGAGCACGCAATGATCCAGTAACCCCCCTGCATACATTTGTGATTTGAGCATGCCACTTTAAATTGCAGTCAATATGCAAACCCAGATTTTTGACGTCAGTACCAAACGGGATTACTGCACCATCAAAGAGCACGGCTGGTAATGATGCTCGGTCTATTCCACCCAGCGTACGGGAGCTACCTATTATAATAGCCTGGCATTTGCCGGGATTAACTGATATACCGAATCTCTCGGACCAGTTCTTGATGGATACCAGGTCACCGTTCATCTCCGAGATCGCATCAGAGAGTCTGTCAACACTGGCCTGACAGTACAGTTGCAAATCGTCAGCGTATAGATGGTACGCACACTGAAGTTCAGAAGTAATGAGATTAATGAAGATAGAGAATAAAAGAGGTGATAGTATGCCGCCTTGAGGAACACCAGCCGTTAATTCGCGCCAACCCGATGAAGTATCATCAAGCTTGACAGACTGCTGGCGGGCCCGAAGATAAGATGAAAACCAGTTCAATGATTTGTCAGAGATCGTTAGATGGGAAAGGATGGCTAAAAGGATGTCGTGACTGACCATATTGAAGGCGTTCGAGAAGTCAACTAAAACCAAAACTGTGGCTCTAGTGCTCTCGAGACCAGTTCTAATATCGCCAGTCACCTTAAGGAGAGCGGAAACCGTGCTGTGGCCCGGCCTGAAACCAGATTGAAGGGGACTTATGAGCGAATTTTTGTAAATAAAGTCAGCCAGTTGTTTGTGGACACAGGCCTCAAGCACTTTGGAAAGGAAAGGAAGTATGGAGATGGGACGGAAATGAGTGGGAAGAGAGGGATTAGAGATTTTAGGAAGAGGTCGAACAAAGGCTCTGCGCCAGAGGGATGGAAAGGTTCCTGAAAAAAGAGAAAAATTTACTATATGGGTTATTGCTGGTAAGATGTGATCTAGTATAGTTATGATCATGTCTCGAGAGATATTATCACATCCTACAGCTTTGGATTTTATGGATAGGATAATCTTTCCGACCTCCGCCAATTGAACCGGTGTGAAGCAGAAAGGATCAGAAATATTGGGACGCGCCAGACCAGCTATGTACGACAAGGTTTGTTCTTTCATTAGACGATCCATAACAGGGACGGTAGCGAAATGGTTGTTAAGATCGTCCAATCCAATTGTGCTGGGTAGGTCTGGATATTGCGTTTTGCCGATGCCTAGAGTTCCAAGGAATTTCCAGATATCGGCAGAAGAAGAGGAAGATATGTTTTCAAGAACGTGGCGGCGTTTAGCGTCACGTACCATCTGGTTACATCTGTTTCTCGCGGTCTTAAAGGCAGCCCAGTTATCCTCCGTACGATCTCTTCGATGCTTGCGGAACGCGCGGTCACGACGTCGCATCGCCATTCTAATACCAGGCGTCATCCACGGAGCCGGTGGTCGTTTAATCCTAACTTTCTTGATGGGAGCATGAAGATCATACACGCTAGTTATCACCGCGTTAAAGTACGCAATTTTATCATCCACTGAAGATGCTTCCATCAGTGGCTCCCAGTTGATCAAGGACGCGTCTTTCTGGAGTTTAGATTTGTCCATCCGCGCGAAGCAACGCCGGTACAACACCTTGGGTCTCACCTTAGGCGGTTTTAGGATATAGGACAAGAAAATCATGTCATGGTGAGAGAAACCCGGAGCGTCGTGTTGTCCATGACAAGAAACGAGAGAGGGATTGGAAATGAGGATAAGATCGAGCCAGGAGTCTTCGCCGACTGTAGTGTGGTGAGTGGGGTTAAGCGGTAACAGCTGCAAGCTCGCTGACTCGATTATATGCAGGAGTTTGCGGGAACGAGGAGAGGCGTGGGACATAAGGTTGGTGTTAAAATCGCCCATGATTATGTGGTGAGTGTACTCGGAACCCAATGATTCAAGAACTGATTCGAAGTCAGTGAAATAATCATTAGTAGGAGGACAATAGACAACACCTAACACAACTTTCCCCCCCCGGCTACAAACCTCAAGAAAAAGATACTCCGCAGGACAATTGGGAGAAGAAGAAGAGAGCACCTTGTAAGAAAACTCACTACGGAGATATATACCTACCCCACCCCCTCTTTTAACAGTCCGGTCGTTCCGTATAAGAATATAACCTGGAAGGGGGTAGGTTGTTGACAACAATTGTGGTTTGAGCCAGGTTTCAGATATCAGGATGGCGTGGACGTTGCTGTTGTTGAATGCATCAAAAAGTTCGTTGTGGTGGCTAGGAATGCTTTGCGCGTTTATGTGACATACATTTAGCACATGATTATTGCCATCCGTAAAACGACTTTGAATAAAATCATGCAGAGAAGCATTCAAAGAGCAAAAGCTATCATTATCAGATAATGAGTTGGCTGACGCAAAAGAATCATCACTGGACATTGACAAATAACAATAATAATAAAATAAATATATGAAATAAATATTTAAATAATAATAAATATACTTTTAATACAGAAGATCGTAAATAGTATTAGGAACAAACGTTTTATTATATGGAAACTATAATGCTTGCTATAAATGAAAGAATACTCAGGATAAACTCTGCACCACCCGCCAGCTAACATCAACATTCCGAAAATTTAAAAAAAAACATAAAGTTACTAGTAATTTGGGTACCTAAAAAAACACAATAAAAAAAAAGACGATTAATGAAAGTGCATCACTGACAACAAAACGTATTAAAAAAAAAAATAAAAACACAAATCAAGACTATGCCTTCCATTTCAACAATAATAACAAAACGCACAATACAAAACCAAAACCAGAACCACAGACGCAACATCAACTTGAAACGTCATACTATGTCAAGTGTCAAACAGTGTTATGTCATCCGTCACGGTCACAAAGAGATGACATGCTATTTGTCAACTAAATATTAATTAATGTTGAATTACTTATAGTTAGTTTTAAAATGACGGTGTATGTGAAATTAATATAATGTTGTACAAACCCATAAGCAAACAAAGGGACAGTGAATCATGCCAACGACGGTTACATTACAATAATAGTAGTAGGAGGTATACAAAACATGCAAACTTAAAAAGATACCTCCCACCTGAAGAGTTAACAGATGACAAAGAAAGATACAAAATGATTTAACTCGTCGAGTACCGTCATTATAGACACAATTATAAAACAATAGCATGCGGCCACCGGTGACCGCTTGGTGTTGGACAGTTTAATACGGAAGCCAAATCCGACGGAACAAACACACAGTAAGTACTGAGAACAATCTGTTTGGTGGCTCTATTATATACCGTGTGAATACCAGGCTGATACTTAGCTGCGCTTCGCTTTCAGACTTCCGCCAACCTACTCCGCACCACGCTTGGTACTGGATGATGAAGTGCTTTGCGTCCTTGGGTACTTAGCTAGCAGAGGCTTCAGCTCATCCATCGAAGACACTTTACACCGCTTCCCATCTGAGGCCTTGACGAAGATTACACCATCCTGTGTCCAGCA